GTCACACTCTTGCTGCTGCTGCTGTCACACTCCTACTGCTGCTGTCACACTCTGGCTTGTTCTGCTGTTACACTCCTGCTGCTGCTGCTGTCACACTCTTGCTGCTGCTGCTATTACACTCGTGCTTGTTCTGCTGTTACACTCTTGGTGCTGCTGCTGTCACACTCTTGCTTCTGCGCTGCTGTTACACTCTTGCTTGTTCTGCTGTTACACTCCTCCTGCTGCTGCTGCTGTCACACTCTTGCTGCTACTGCTGCCACAATCTTGTTGCTGCTGCTGTTACACTCTTGCTTGCTCTGCTGTTACACTCTTGCTGCTGCTGCTGTCACACTCTTGCTGCTGCTGCTGTCACACTCTTACTGCTGTTGCTGTTACACTCTTGCTTGTTCTGCTGTAAGTAGCCATCTCTAATACACCTAAAAGCGAGCAGTAGTTGATATCCTTGACTAAGAAGACGTTATTTGAGAGCCGCAGTGGATGGCTCCGTCTTCCCTCGACGAGACGACGATACCCATACCGTTCTCCTCGATGGGTCACTACTCAGAGGTAGCACTCCCCAAACGCATCAAACGGATGATATATCAGTATACGTCCTTTCTCTCTCTTCACGCTCAAAAGATAGCCGCGGAAGATGCGGTGATCGACACATCAGAAATTGCACCTCGTGTGAGTACGAAAACGACATATCAGTCTGCGTACCAAGGCGTCGGTGTTTTGTGAGCTAGAAAAACAAACACAACGGTGACTGGGTACAAACAATATCCGAGTGTTAGAACTCCGTATTGAACGATAGTAAGTGGTGTTTCTCATTCTGTCTGTACAGCTGTTGTGGTATCGTCGTTGATGCAGTATTTCCGGTGTCATCAGACAGTCCCCATATATACGGGATTTCAGAAGGTTGACATTCAGTGGAAGGCGACATCAGCGCCAGATCATAGCCTACAGTGAGAGGGAAGATGACGTCACCACACGCCTACACCCACCCCTGGCAGATAGCAGCTAGATGGATCGCGTTTTCTAAACAGACGCCCTAACTCCTGCCAATAGGTATTTCAAGAGTAAAATACTTTATACACGGTGAAACTCCATAACTTCAAGTGATTATTTACAACTAACAGTCATAACACCATATACACAGTTGGTAAAGGTGGAGAATGTTCTCCCATTACTGTGAAGCACTGGTTTAGAAAGGCTATATATATATATATATATATATATATATATATATATATATATATATATATATATATATATATATATATGTATATATATATATATATATATATATATATATAAAACCATATACACAATTGTTATAGGTAGAGGAATTATGTTCTCTCAATTACTGTGGCACACTGGTTTAGAAGAATATATATACTGTATATATATATATATATATATATATATATATATATATATATATATATATATATATATATATATATATATATATATATATAACAAATAAATATGCAATAACAATCAAAGATATTGTTATATGTGTTTCATTTACTACAACAGGAGAGGGATAGGTATTGTTTCCCGCCCCTCCTCACGCTTTATATAGCGGCCTCGTTAGTAGCGGCGCTTAAGCAAAAAGTGGAAGTGTTGTCAGTGCCGGTGAGGGTTGGTAGTACAAGATTGGCTCTTGATATTGATACGATTGCATGCGCTAATATTTTGGCCTTGACATCCTATCAGGAGTTACAACGTAAATTCCCTCACCGGGGCTTCAAATGGAACCCTAGTAACGCTGAGCTCAGAAGGGTATCATGTACTCAGTTGAGCATTAACGGAATGGTGACGTTACCACTCAGATTTTCAAGACGTGGTTCTCCCTTCATGCGGACTTTTATAGCCAGTTCAGCAGTTTAATTTGCCAGCTGACGGGTTACTTGGTCTCCCCAGCCTTAGAACGAACGTGACTAGATGTTCATCCACATAATAATACTATTACGTTTAAGGTGTTTCCTGCAACGCTCTGCTTCATTCTGAACCTATGCTCACCGCTGGGTCGAAAGTGTTGTCACAATCCACATTAAGAGGAAGGCCGCGGAACATGCGCGTCAGAGCTACCTCATGACCTCACACCCACACTTTCCAGCGTGATTACCAACAATAGTGCTGGTGCTTAACAATCCACTGTAGCTGAAGTGAATTGGATTTCTGCAAATGATTCGTTCACTGCCCAGGGTGTGACAGGACGTGACTGCAGTTGTTGAGACTACTCATCAATCAACATCCTGTCAACAAATTCTTTCGTATGGCGTAGACAACCCCAGTTGCCAGCACCCACCCTAGTGATGATGACATCGGTCCTGAGAGATGGTCTCTGCATTCTGGTATCGTATGGTGGATGACCCTGTAAGGTGTGGCAGGGCGGCGGTTTGCTGTATTCAGGATTTTCGTGAACATTGACCCAGTCACCGGACCTTGGAATCAGCTGTCTACTGTGAGCGACACACACACAGTCTACGGGATTCGGCAACAATTTCACATTATCAAGAATTCTAGAAAAGGATTCTTCAATCAAGCCTACAAAGATATAGGTAGTATCTAGGCATACATAAAGTATATACACACATTTACATGTTCAAGACGTAACACATTGATGGGACATCAATGGGATAATTGTCATTGTTGTAGTGCTTACTTATTTTAATATATACTGAAGTGAAATTTATTAGAAATAGAAAATGTGGGCATTTTCTTTTGATCCAAGGGAGGAGGATAGAATGTTCATAATTTTCAAACTACATATTTCAATGATGTCAATGACACATCTTCTTAAAATAAAAATATGATAGTTCTACAAAGTATCACAGACTTAAGTTTTCAGCCATGCCGTGTAGAACCCTTCACAACTCAGTACCATTGCTCTCCGCAAACGCCAGATGTTTCGTTGAAAGAGTCATAAGCACCACACACTCATTCATCTAAGCGTGATGACAGTAGCGAAAGGATTGTACATTGCTCAGAAGATGCGTTCTTAAACACGAAATAGGCGAAGATTATTTCTGCCATGTTGAAAACGATATTGGCAGTAATATTTGTGTTTACATCGTTTTTTTCTGTTTTAAGTCAGTGTCATCCAAGATGAAAATTGTACATAACATTTTAATCCAAAAGGCACTAAAGTATAGGACCCCTGTAGTAGATAGTAGATAAAACCCCTACAGTAGTAGAATCCCCAGCTTAGTTAATCTACACCTATGTTTATAACACGGTTAGGGTTGTATAGGATGTACTGTACTCTGTGATCTTATTTAGGCCTCACGGAGCTTGGCCGGTGGTGACCGAGCAATGTAATGGCCCCAGTTTCATCAACAAAAGTATTATATGAATAATTTATATTCAGATTCACCCCCTGTAACTTTCCACTGGCTATGAGGTGACATGTTCAATGCACGTGAGTAAAGGTGTGCCCACGGGAAGCTGAGTCATAATATGCTGAGTAAAGGCATAAGTAGCCGGCTCTCTGGCCACCTGAAGCGAGCAGTAGTTTGATATCTTGACTAAGGGGAAGACGTTGTTGAGGCCGCAGTGGATGGCTCCGTCTTCCCTCGAGGAACGACGTACCCATACCGTTCTCCCTCGATGGGTACCACCGGGATACTCCACACCAACTTTTATCGAACAGACGTTGATCCACGTTTTATATTACATAAACGCCGTCCTCTTTTCTCATTCACTCATAAATAGTGGAACTTACACGGTTGATATACACTCAGGGTATAAACATAATAGCATAATAAAACAAGAAACTTCAATTGGGTTTCTTGCCAAAGCCAATTACCAGTATATGTGTGGACCAACCTGGTTAACTGGAATTAACCATCGTAACAGTTACACTCTTGCTTCTGCTGCTGCAATCTTGTTGCTGCTGTTTTTACACTCTTGCTTGTTCTGCTGTTACACTCTTGCTGCTTCGCTGTCACACTCTTCTGAGGCTGCTGTCACAATCTTGTTGCTGCTTCTGTACACTCTTGCTACTGCTGCTGTCACACTCTTGCTGCGCTGCTGCACTGCTGCTGCTGTTGTCACACTCATCCTGCTGCTGCTGCCTTGTCGCACTCTTTCCTGCTGCTGCTGCTGCTTTCCTGTCACACTCTTTGCTGCTGCTCCATAGCACCCTTGTTTCTGCTGCGTCACTCTTCTCCTACTAGCTGCTGTCACTCCTAGTGCTGCTGCTTGTCACACTCTGCTACTGCTCCTGCTGTCACTCTCTTGCTTTCTGCTGCTGTCACACTCCTGCTGCTGCTGCTTGTCACACACTTGCTACTGCTCCTGCTGTCATGCTCTTGCTGCTTCTGCTGCTGTCACACTCTTGCTGCTGTTGCTGCTGCTGTCACTCTCCTTCTCCTGCTACTGTCACACTCTTGCTACTGCTCCTGCTATCACTCTCTTGCTGGCCTACTTCTGTCCTCCTGCTGCTGCTGCTGGCACCTCTTGCTACTGCTCCTGCTGTCATGCTCTTGTTGCTTCTGCTGCTGTCACACTCTTGTCCTGCTGCTGCTGCTGTCACACTCCTCTGTTGCTGCTGTCACACTCTTGCTACTGCTCCTACTGTCCCTCTTGCTGCTTCTGCTGCTGTCACACTCTGCTGCTGCTGTTGCTGCTGCTGCACTCTTGCTGCTCCTCCTGCTGTCATGCTCTTGCTGCTTCTTCTGCTCACCTCTTGTTCCTGCTGCTGCTGCTTCACTCTCCTTCTCCTGCTGCTGTCACACTCTTGCTGCTGCTCCTGCTGTCACACTCTTGCTACTGTCTTGCGTCACACTCCGACTGCTCCTCTGCTGCTGCTCATCACTCCCTCTGTTGCTGCTGTCACACCCTTGCTGCTGCTCCTGCTGTCGCACTCCGGCTGCTCCTGCTGTGACACTCTCTTGCTGCTGCTGCTGTCACACTCTTGCTACTGCTCCTACTGTCACTCTCTTGCTGCTTCTGCTGCTGTCACACTCCTGCTGCTCCTGCTGTCACCTCTTGCTACTGCTCCTGCTGTCATGCTCTTGCTGCTTCTGATGCTGTCACCTCCTGCTGCTCCTGCTGTCACACTCTTGCTACTGCTCCTGCTGTCATGCTCTTGCTGCTTCTGCTGCTGTCACACTCTTGCTACTGCTCTGCTGTCACTCTCTTGCTGCTTCTGCTGTGTCACCTCCTGCTGTGCTGTCACACTCTTGCTACTGCTCCTGCTGTCATGCTTCTTGCTGCTTCTGCTGCTGTCACACTCCTGCTGCTGCTGTCATCCTCCTTTTCTGCTGTTGTCACCTCTTGCTACTGCTCCTGCTGTCATGCTTTTGCTGCCTGCTGCTGTCACACTCTTGCTGCCGTTGCTGCTGCTGTCACCACTTCTTGCTGCTGCTGCTGTCACACTCTTGCTACTGCTCCTGCTGTCATGCTCTTGTTGCTTCTGCTGTCATCACTCTTGCTCCTGCTTGCTGCTGTCACTCTCCTTCTCCTGCTACTGTACTTGCCTCTTTACTGCTCCTGCTGTCACACTCCGGCTGCTCCTGCTGCTGCTGCTGTCACCTCCCTCTGTTGCTTCTGTCACACTTGCTACCTCCTGCTTGTCGCACTGCGGCTGCTCCTGCTGTGACACCTTTGCCTGCTACTGTCACCTCTGCTGCTGCTTCTCACACTCCGGCTGCTCCTGCTGTCACACTTCTGCTGCTGCTGCTGTCACACTCTTGTTGCTGCTCCTGCTGTTGCACTCCGGCTGCTCCTGCTGTGGCACTCTTGCTGCTCCTGCTGTGACACTCTTGCTGCTGCTGCTGTCAGACTCTTGCTGCTGCTGCTGTCACACTCTTGCTGCTGTTGTCACACTCTTGCTGCTTCTGCTGCTGTCACCTCCTGCTGCTGCTGCTGCTGCTTCACCTCTTGCCTGTTGCTTGTCATGCTCTTTCTGCTTCTGCTGTAGTATGTGCTGTTGCTGCTGCTGTCACTCTCCTTCTCCTGCTGCTGTCACACTCTTGCTACTGCTCCTGCATCCATTTCGGCTGTTTGCTGCTGCTGCAGTCACAGTTTTTGCTTGCTGTCAACTTCTCACCTCCTGCTGCTCCTGCTGTCGCACTCTTGCTGTTTCTGCTGCTGTCACACTCTACTGCTGCTGCGTCACACTTCTTGCTGCTGCTGTCGCACTCTTGTTGCTGCTCCTGCTGTCACACTCCCGGCTGCTCACACATCGCTGCTGCTCCTGCTATCTGTCTCTGCTGCTACTCCTTCACACTCCGGCTGCTCCTGCGTCACACTTCGCTGCTGCTGCTTGTCACACTCTTGCTTGCTGCTCCTGCTGTCGCCTCCAGCTGCTCCTGCTGTGACACTCTTGCTGCTGCTGCTGTCAGACTCTTGCTGCTGCTGCTGCTGTCACACTCTTGCTGCTGCTGTCACACTCTTGCTGCTTCTCCTGCTGTCACACTCCGTGTCTTGATGATTCACTTGCTGCTCCTGCTGTCACACTCTTGCTGCTGCTGTCACACTCTTGCTGCTCCTGCTGTCACACTCTTGGTGCTACTGCTGTCACACTCTTGCTTCTGCTGCTGCCGTCACACTCCTTCTGCTCCTGCTGTCACACTCCTGTTGCTGTCACACTCCTCCTGCTGCTGCTGCCGCCGTTACATTACTGCTGCTGCTGCTGGCGTCACATTCTTGCTGCTGCTGCTGCTGCTGCTGCTGCTGTTACACTCCTGTGGGATGGGACCAAGTGCAAGATGCTTCTACGCCTGAAGCAGCAGCCCAGAAGTTATCTTACAGCCTGGATGAGATGTCGATTGTCCTTCTCTCTGCTTAGGTCTGCTTTGCTCTGCCTCGGGGGAACGAAAGCATCGGCCCCAAAGCCGACAACAGTTGCAGATATTGACTATTAGGCAACAGTCACTGAATGCCGCATAGATCTGCGACTTAACTAACTCACCACAGCTAGGGTAGTTACTTATGTATTATGTCACAGCATGCTGTAGCACAAATATAATCAGGATATGGAAATAGGGCATTTACATAAAAATTATATAATACAATAATGGCTTTACATGTGCTGATAGCTTCCACAAAGTTTACATTAATATCAGTCTTATATCTTAATCCAACAATAAGCTCCCTCTCTACTTTACAAATATGCTTCACAAATAGATAGTAATATTTTATGATTACCAGAAAACACTGGATTACCCTTACAACCTGTGGGTTTTTCACGAGACAAAATACCATGTCCTTCACCAATAATACCCAGAGAGCTTCTTGTTCCAATACGATTTTACAAACTTATCCACATTTTGTTTACATTCTAACTGTAGTATTCTAACATTAAAAACTGTTTAAAAATATCATATATTAATGTTCTTTAATCATATCAGTTACTAAAACATCACAAATCAGAATAACAAAACAAATATCACGAACTTAAGAAGACTTTAACATTCACAGTGATTATAGGGTGTCAAGAGAAAACGAGAACCTTAATGGGATGACTGAGGAAAACATAAGTACATAGCAATTAGGATTGTTAATTTTAAGGTAATAAAATGGCGGCGAAGGTGTGGCTATTGGGGGATGCTGGAGGCCACTTTTATATATAAAAAAGTAATAGTATTAGTAGAAGTAGGAATGGGATTGACCAATCCAGTGGAGCCTGCCGCTACAGAACATCAGAACTCTGTCAAGTTCACGGCCGCTCTCACTGAGCACATAAAGGCTCAGAATGCATCAAGTCAGGTGGATACCAGAGAATTAAACAAGATTCGACGGTCCATTACGACAAAGCAACAGCACACCCTAAGTGATAAACTGCAACAACTGTTGCAGAAATTACGAGAGCTTGAAAAGAAAAGTAGTTATAGCGCAGGAGGTGGGTGCCTCGAACTGGATAACAACGTTACCGATAAGGGCAAAAGGCTTCATCTTTAATAAACAAGAATTCACAGATGTCATTGCTCTAAGGTACGGTAGGCCAGTAGAAGGTTTGCCCTACCAATGCGTATGCAGCTCATCTTATGACATTAACCACGCCATGGTGTGCAAGAAAGGGGGGCTTCGTATGCATGAGACACGACGAAGTAAGGAATCTAACAGCAAATCTACTGAGGGAAACCTGCCACGACGTCATGGTGGAACCGACCCTCCTGCCATTGGACGGTAAGAACTTCCAACATAGGACTTCAAACACATCCAACGAAGCCCGTGTGGACGTCAGTGCTCGAGGATTCTGGACGCGGGTACAGCGAGAGCCTTTTCGACATAAGGATATTTGATCCCATGGCCGCATGTCACCGAAACCTATCTCTCGATGCTGCACACAGGAGGAACCAGAACGACAAGATAAGGGCATATGGGGTGAGAATTCAGAATGTCGATCAGGAACCTTCACTCCTCTGGTGTTCACAACCTCTGGCAGGATGGGACCAAGTGCAAGATGCTTCTATGACGAAGCTCGCGGAGGTGTTATCTAAACAGAAGCAGCAGCCCAGAAGATATGTTTCAGCATAGTTGAGATGTCGACTGTCCTTCTCTCTGCGTACGTCTGCATTGCTTTGCCTCAGGGGAACGAGAGCATCGGCCCCAAAGCCGACAACAGTCGCAGATTTCGACTTCGAGGCAACAGTCACTGAATGCCGTATAGATCTGAGGCTCAACTAACTCAACACAGCTAGGATAGCTACTTACGTATTAGGATAGTTAATTTTAAGGTAACAAAATGGCGGCGAAGATGTGGCTATTGGGGGAAGCTGGAAACCATTGAAAATATAAATAAAAAAAGTAGTAATCAAGATCAAGTGTCCAAGCTTTGCAATGTATGTTGAAAACTCCTATAGGAATCCATCAGACCTCTATACAGTATAGTAAACAACAAGGCTCTAAGAGGTGATACCATCATACAGTCAACCGAGGGAACAAACAGGAGACCCTGTTGCAATGGCAATGTACGCAATAGGCCTATCCGTGCTCCAACACACAATAAAATTTGAAACAACTGAGGTCAAGCAAGTGGCATACGCTGATGATCTTACAGGAGCAGGAAAACTGGAAGACATAAAAAAGTGGTGGGACCTGGTAACATCACGAGGCCCACAAATAGGGTACCACCCAAACGCCAGCAAGTCCTTTCTCATTGTGAAGCCAGAATATTATGAACGGGCAATAGGTGTTCGGTGGAAGTGAGGTCAAAATAACAAAGGATGGCCAAGACACCTAGGTGCAGTAATCAGCAAGACGGACTTCAAGACCGAGTCGTGAACGGGAAAGGTGAATGAGTGGGTTAGGGAAATCCAGCGCTGTCTGAGATTGCTAACACAGAGCCACATGCAGCTTTTGCGGCATTCATCCATGGAGTCAAGCATCGCTGGAACTACCTGATGTGCACTATCCCTGATATCGGACCTCTCCTCCACCTTCTGGAAGAAGCTATCAGCGTCAATTTTATTCCCAAATTAGTGAAACACCTTCACTTAACCCCAGCAGAAAGATCACTCCTTGCATTACCACCGAGACTGGGAGGAATGGGATTGACCAATCCAGAGGAGATTGCTGCCACCGAACATCAAAACTCAGTTAAACTCACGGCAGCCCTCACTGACCACATAATAGCTCAGAACGCAACAGGTGAGGTGGTTACTAGTGAAGTAAACAAGATTCGAAGGTCCATTACGACAGAACGACAGCACGGCCAAAGTGATAAGTTGCAGCAACTGATGCTTCAAGCACCAGAAAATTTGAAAAAAAAGTAGCTATAGCGCAGGAAGCGGGCACCTCGAACTGGTTAACTACAATACAGATGCCATTGCTCTAAGTAGGCCAGTAAAAGGTTTGCCTTCCCAATGCGCGTGTGGCTCTTCTTATGACGTCGATCATGCCATGGTGTGCAAGAAAGGGGGCTTCATATGCATGAGGCATGACGAAGTAAGGGATCTCACAGCAAATATGTTGCAGGAAATCTGTCTTGATGCCAGGGTAGAACCGACCCTCCTTCCATTGGACGGTGAGAATTTCCAACATAGGACTTCAAACACATCCAACGAAGCCCAGACGTCAGTGCTCGAGGATTCTGGACGCGGGACAGCGGCTTCTTCGACATCAGGATTTTTGATCCCATGGCCGCATGTCACCATAACTTAGCTCTCGATGCTGTACACAGGAGGAATGAGAACGACAAGATAAGGGCATATGGGAGAGAATTCAGAACGTTGATAGGTGTAGCTCCACTTCTAGTGTTCACAACCTCTTGTGGGATGGGACCAAGTGCAAGATGCCTACGCCAGACTCGCGGAGGTGCTACCCGCACAGAAGCAGCAGCCCAGAAGTTATGTTACAGCCTGGATGAGATGTCGGCTGTCCTTCTCTCTCCTTAGGTCGGCTTTGCTCTGCCTCAGGGGAACGAGAGCATCGACCCTAAAGCCGACAACAGTTGCAGATATTGACTATGAGGCAACAGTCACTGAATGCCGCATTCAGCTCAACTAACTCAACACAGCTACGATAGCTACTTATGTATTAGGATATTTAATTTTTAGGTAATAAAATGGGGCAAAAGGTGTGGCTATAAGGGGAGGATGGAGGCCACGTTAAAAAAAAAAGAAATTGTAGTAGTATGAATTGTGTGTGTGTGTGTGTGTGTGTGATTGTGAGTGTGTGTTTTGAATGAGTATGCATGTGATTTGAGTGTTGATGTGTGTGTGTGTGTGTGTGTGTGTGTGATAGTTTTGTGTGTTTGTGTGTGTGTGTGTTTATGTGTGTTCGCTCCTGTGACCCAATGGATAAGGCATTGGCCTCCTAAGCCAAGGAATGTGGGTTCGAATCCTACCAGAGGTTCATTTTCTGTGTGTGTGTGTGTAATAAAATAATAATTAACGGTTTTTTGAAAAAGTGCTGCAGCCCGAAGGCTGAAAATATACATTGGACATAAATGACTTATTACAGTACATACAAAGACATTGGTGGTTTAAACAAATCGAACATTAGAGAAAGTTAAAGGAACATACAGTAGACATAAGAACATAAGAATGGAAACTGGCCCGGGCCTATTGGCCTTGCATACTAAAACAGTCCCATTTACACCAACCCTATTGCTCATATATCCGTCCAACCTATGTTTGAAGTTATCAACTTTTTGAGTTAATAATGATGTTTGTGCTTATTTCCACTCATCCTCTCTATTTCCAAGCCAATGTTTACCTATTTCGCGCCTAAATCTAGAATTTGTCTAATATAAAATCATTGTTACCAGTTCGCTCCTGGTTGGATAATTTGAGTACCTTCGTAATGTCCCTTTGTTTTAGCCCCTGGCTTTACATCTTATACACCTCTATCATATCCACCCTCGCTCTACGTC